ATTCTTAAATATGAACTTTGTTTTAACAAGAATTGTCAGCTTTATGCAAAAATATAAGACCTAACATGTTTGATTCTTGGGCAATAAACACATTTTAACAGTACATTACATTTATTTAACAGAAAACAAAAACTACAATAAAACCAATTTGATCAAAATTAGATCAGTACAAAATTTGAAACACTGACTTTAAAAATATATACTATTTTTCAAGCTTCTAAGAACTGACAGTCTCACAGCTCACTTTAATGCAGATCTCGTAGCTATCCTCAGTAAATGTGCAAGCTAAAAAAATCCATTAAAAAGAAACTTTGCTCAAAAACTTATTTTTACCACCTAATCTTTAGGAAACTTGTATTATAATGCACTGATCTGTAATGCAAAAGAGGTTGAGGACTTGAATATATTGACTAATCCACCAACTAATGAAAAGCCATGAATCAAAGCTATTAGCATGATGCTATTCCTCTTTACTGGTGAACATCCAGCTGCTCTGACCATCAGATCTGTCAATCAAACCCTCAAACATTTTGACATCTATTGTCGTATTAATTGTGTAACTATTTCCAAAGAACCCCCATTAACTTGAAAATAAAAATGAAAATCAGCTAAGGATATAATATGGGTGGGAAAAATATCTTGATATAGAATTGTAAGATACTTGATACGTAACATAAATCTGTTGCAGAGCATTTGACTAGTCATCCATGGAATAGTACTTTAAATGGATATTTATCTCATATTGACTCATTAATGCATGTTTAAGAAATCCTGTAGTGTCCTGAGGCAGCCAGGCAGGTGAGCAAAAACAACCGGTTGGGGTCTAGAACCGCCTTTTGGGATCAGCTCCTCCTCTGGGCTGTGTCTCCAAGCTGAGCTTCCTCATCACAGAGCACACACACCCACCCAGCCTTGAGCTGAAATGGGTGGGACAGAAGCAGAAGGAGGTTCTTAAAGAGACAGAGGCCAATTTCAAGGCGTTTAGAAACAGATAAGATGAGAAGTCAAGTTTATTTTCTATTTAAACATATAAACAACATTTTAATAACAGCTGAAAGTGACATAGTTACTTTTATGATGGTATAGAATTTAAATATATGCCTGAGAAAAACATAATATTGCCCCTTTAATTTAAAAACGTTCCAAATTATTGTTAAAAAATAAAAAAATTAATCGCACTAATATAGGGTATTTTTGTAAGTAAGTAAGAAAGTAAAGTTTAATTTATATAGCGCCTTTCACAGAAATATATTCACAAGGTGCTGTACAATTAGGGAAGGGGGGATGGGGCAGTTAAGAAACACCCATTCAAGAAGACACACATGACAAACATGGGGGAACAGGTGAAACCGGTCATGCAGCAAACAGAGTTGCGCTACCTTTAACAGAAAAACTAAAAACCACACAAGGGAAGATGAGGAAAAAAATAATTTTTGGACACTCAAAGACTGCTACAATGTAGCTACAGCTACAGAGACGGATGGAACGGGGGATCCCCTAACCACTCCAACCCAGCTGCCCCTAAGTGAAAATGTTTAATTTTACACTTGTATGAATGACCACAAGTCTTTTGAAGCGAATTGGAACAGAGTTTTAATAGCTGCTTGTGAGCCAGCCTGCAGTGACACTGGTGTAAGGCAGGCTGTAGAGAGGAAATATTCAGGGAACTGGAGCAACCAGCTGACTCTCTGCTTTGTGCTAAAGCTGCTCGGCATGTGCATGTTTGGTTTCATCTGTCTATGTTCTGAGGATCAGAGAGAGGAGAGCTCACAGTCTCCAACCTGGAGCACAGATGGGCATGTTAGCCTCAGATCCTCTGACCCCATTCAGTCACACACACACACACGCACGCACGCACGCACGCACGCACGCACGCACGCACGCACGCATGCTTTACTATCTGCATAATTATACACACGTCAGAGCTAACTTACACTTAGTGTATTTACTCTGGGCGTATTCGTATACTCACATTTTTTTGTTTTAATAAAAATGCATTCACACACACACACACCTGTCAGCCTTGCCGATGCATGCCTTCCTGTCAGCATGATCCTCCAGCACGGCGCTACCTCTCACAACACCTTTCCTCCGTGACTCTACAGAACACGAGCACCGGGCCCTGGCGACAGCGTTGCTGTGCCAACGCCACCTTGAGAAGCGAGAATTTTCTCATCTCGCACGACAATGTTAAATTGTCGCAGGGGGGGAAAAAAAGTTGAACACCTCGGGGGGGAAAGTCAGGTGGCTGGGTGTGCTTGCAGGGAACAAGATGTCTCCAGATGGAGCGCGATGCTGAAACACATCTGAGAACTCACGGCACAGACAAACGGAGTGATCTGTTAATGAACATCATTCACATATTAATTCACTTATTACTACTTGTTTTGCTTCTGTAATTTTTTTGATAGTACATTTAAAGTGGAAGGAGACTGCTGAATAATGATTAAAGTTAATGCACATCTATCAGGGGAATCAGAGGCTCCAGTGTTTTTGTTTTTATTTCCGTGAGAAGTAAAATAAGGTGTTTTGATGCTAAATATTCCAGCAGTAACTGAATTTTTCTTGCAAGGTCTTTGCATCCACTCTGCTGCACAGTGGAAGGCACATGCTAGCCATTATTACTGCTGTTGAAGAAAAATGAAGTCATGAGCCATGAACTTCTACACTCAGACTATAAAAGGACAAAAAGAAAAGGCAGGAAATGAACCAGACCAGGTGTTGTTTTTTTTTGTTTGTTTTGTTTTTTTTTTACAACCCAAAGCCACAGATCTGGATTCATAGGTTACAAGAAAAAAGATGAAACTTTTTTTATTGTAAATCTGTTGGGTATTTTAGACAGAAATTTTATAGATATGGTAAAGATTCGGTAATCACTCAGATATAATTGCATCAGTGCCTGATTGCTGCAGGAAATCATATTTTAGCATAAATTAACTCTGCTGAGCCGAGAAGCAATGCTGACAATTGCATCTAGAGTCAATTTTATCTTTTTTTTAACTACTTTGCAGTTGCTAAATCGGTTCTAGAACTGCACAACCCGTGACGAGACCACTACACTTTATTTTTATTTATTTATTATTTTTTTTAGAAGACCACTTTTAACCTGAGATGTTCTTGAATTTTGTTTCCTCTCCCTAGAATGTCCAGCGACTAGGTGGCTCCCAGGTGACGCAGCCACTCACCACCCCGGTGGTCTCCGTCGCGACGCCCAGTCTCCTCGCACCCTTCCCCGGCATGCAGACGGCCTACAACACAGGTAGGTCGCTGAACAGCGCTGACCCCTCGGACAGAATGCTGCAGCTGCTTAAACTGTCTGTTTGCATCAGGACTGACGATGAAGTTAAAAGAAATGGGGGAAAAAAAGATGCAGATTAGAAATTATAGTCTAAACTGTGTCATGAAACACTTGCAGAATGATGCCACAGACCAGTATGAATATTCACTTTGTTCATTGTGTGAGAGCTGCTGGAAGGATTCCACTTCAAAGGTCCACATTAATATGGATTAGGCCTGATTAATATTGATGCAGCAGAAAGTTGTATGATGTAAAACAACCCCACACACACACACACACACACACACACACACACACACACACACACACACACACA